ATTCCCCCCCCCCCCCCCCCTTTTCTTCGAGTGCCAATTGGTCGGATCGCCTATTTTCTGAACGTGAAGGGAACGAAGGCAACTGTATTGCAGAAGAACAAACGTATGTAGCGTAGTTGGGAAACACGCTAGGCTTGGATACCTTTGTGATGCTCTCCCTTCCAGACGTGGGCCAACTTACTTGTGCTGTGTGGAGTCTCCCTCCTGGTCTGGTTGGTTTTCTGTGTCGGTAAAGTTTCAACAGTTCTTCTCACACTCTACATGTTTTGAAGCGTAACTCCTTACGGTAGCATTGTTTTCTGACTCGGCTTGCAGGCTAGAGCGATGGGTTCGCACTTTTTTTCATCAAGGAGCTGCTGGCCGCCTACCTCGCACGATGTGATGACCGCGACTCATCAGCGCCGGCCATTAGCACCAGGATTATCGTTCCTTTTTTGTGAAAAAAAAATAAACGACACGGAATTTGTACGATCACACATCCACCACACACATCGTCCACACACCTGTCTGGTTGCAGGCTGCCCCCAAAGGTCCGACGCTGGCCGATGTCGGCTCTGAGCCCGGGGAGATGCTGGAGTTCTTCAAGAAGAACCCGCAGCTGCTCAGACAGCTACACCACGTAAGGGAACATGCGGCGAGCATGTGACACCTCCGCTATGGTCCAGAAACCGTTTTTGTGGTTGCCCCCCCCCCCCCCACCGCTACTTATGTGTTTCTCATTGGTCGGCCGGTCGATGCTAGTCCAAAGAAACACGCACGTGTCGGGAGGACCGCGCCGAAGAACATGAAAAACGTTTTAGCTTAGTTTACCCGCCCTAAGACCGACTTCATACCTTTGGTCAGAAGGTTGGCGCGGGCAGTGCTAACGCACTGAACACCCACGCACACAACACCATGTGTGGAGCAGCAGGTTTCCCTTTGACTAGTTTATCGACACGTCTCCGCGTGTGCGGAAGCAAGGGTGGAGCATGTTCCCGTTCGTAAATTTGCGTTACATGGAAGAGGGCGACAATTGACCTGAAACGCACGCATACTAAAGTAGTCTGGACACGCGGCTCCCATTTGGACAGTGTATGTGTGTTATCCCATTGCCCATTTCTCTTTTGTTGTATGCCAAAGCCTAAGCCCTTGTTGACTCCGCACCCCTAGGATTAGCGCGCCACCGCAGTGTAGTGCGCGCCAGATCGCTCCCAGATTTTTTCGGTTTTGATGCTGGGTAAGGGTCTTGTGTTTGTTGCATCTTTATCTTTCGACTTTCTCGATGACGCTATCCAACCACTCATATTTTACGCTTCGTTAGTTCGATTTTTTGTTGGTGGTCAATTGTTCTTTCGGATTTTTTCTCTCTCTAATGCTATCCAACCCCCCATCTTTCCTTTTTTTTTCATTTTTTTGTGGTGGTCAGGTGAATGCTGAATTAGCGGAGGCCGTGGAGACCGGGGACGTGGGCAAGGTGCGGACGTGCCTGATGATGCAGCAGATGAACAGCCACAAGGCCAAGTGGACCAGGGAGACGGAGAGGGCGGCGCTGTTCGCCAACCCGGATAGCGAAGAGGTGTGTGTAGCCAGTGTTCTCTCGGTGCCTTTAACAAAGGTGTCTGTTGTTGTTGGGGTCGGTCGGTCGGTGCTATTGTTGCTGCGGTTGGTGTGATGTCGCTGTCACTGTCGGCATCTTCTCGTTCGGGATCGTCCCTCATCTCTGTTCATCGTCTTCGGTTGTTTTTACTTTTAGTCTCTTTGGCTGGCGTACTCCGGTCTTAACGAGGGAACAAATCGATCTCGGATGGGGGATAAAAAATACGAACGATTAAGTTTTGTGCTTGTGTAGGCGAGCCTTCGATCATGGCTTTGCTCGACATCATTTCATACCCGGCCGTCGGTAGCCGTCTCGGCCTCCGTCATCTCGGCGAAATTTCTCAGAAAACGCAATCCTGGGCTGAGAAGTATTCAATAGCTTTGGTCGGCAAGCACTTGGTGCATAGGCTCATCAACTCATGCGTTTTCTTCGTGCGTAGTAAGTACTCCATCATCTCGTACTTTGCCCCCTCCCTTCCCCTTTTACGCACCAGGGTTCTGCATTAGACATTTTTTCCTTTTCCTTTTTTTCCGACCATGTATATATATATTTTTTTTCGGGCGAGCAGAACCAAGCAAAGATCCAAAAGATGATCGACCAAGAGGCGATCGACCAGAACTATCACATGGCCATGGAGGAGGCCCCAGAGGTCTTCGCACGCGTCAGCATGCTCTACATCGACACCGAGGTAGGTAATGCAGTTACCAGGCTTGTGCGCCCGCGTGCACGTACAGAGTTGGTGCCCTATTTATGGCACTAGTGTTCGGGGACAACTGGCATTTTTATCTATTACTGTCTTCTTTTTTCGTTTGTAGTGATGACGTTCCGCACATCTTCAGCTTTATGTTTTGGCCATCTACATATTGGTGCGAGATTGAACGGTTTATGAACTGCGTGATGATGTCGATGTCTGTTGCTGTGGCATCGTCTTTTTCCTGTGATATTTGGAACCGACGTAAGGACAACGAAAAGGTCACACAAGGACGGAAGCGAGAGAGTTAAGGAAGAATGCTTAGCAGGCACCCCCCCCCCCCCCCCGGAAAAATAAAAAGGGTTCCTAAAAAATTTGGGGGGGGTGGATGGTTGGTTTTTTCGGTTGGTTGGGGATGGTTGGTTTCGCCTTTTTTCTGGGGTTGTGGGGTTTTTGGAAAGAATAATGGTGGTGCATGGACCCGGGCCTGGGATTCCAATTGGAAGTGGGGGGACAAAAACCTTGGGCGGGTTTGGATAACAAAGAAAAATTGGAAGGATGGCTGGGGGGGGTTTTTTGGACGTGGGGGGGTTTTTTTACCAAAATTAATATGGGAATTTGTTTTTTGCTGAACGGGGGGGCCGGGGGAAAGGGGTGGGGGGGGGGGGGTTTTATGGGTATTTGTTA